ATCTTGTGAGACCCCGGAGCGCCCGCGCGCCATTTGTCGGGAGGCGGGGTTTCAGCCCTTGTCTGGTCCATAAAATCTCGGCCAATGAGGGGCTCCTGGCAAGCCACGTGATCGAGGTGGGTGCTTTTGTTCGTTGCTGCTGAGAGCGCGCGTGGTATTCATCGTGAGAGACAGGTGAGAGTGTAGGGGGCTAAGCCGGGTGCAGGGAAGAATTTGTCGGGGGAGCGGTGTTCGCAGGCATATGTACCGGTTACACTGGTAAATTAGATGGGAGGAGGAGGAAGCTGGCTGGGATAGATGTTTTAATCATATGCACGTGTTTATTTGCACGCTGTGATTTGCGTTTTATCCATGGTGAACCATGCTTATACAGGGTGTGTAATGGTGCTCAAGACGGTGCTGCAGCCGCTTTGCTTTCTATGTGGTGGACGATTACTTTATTTGTGTGAGGTAGTGTTGGATGTGCATGTACTGTCCTATGTGGAGTGGTTGTAGCATATGGGGTGGTTCCATACGCTATTATGGAGTGTAGATATTCTTAGTGTCTGCGATGTCTCTCGGTATAATAGGCGCGCTCCCTGCTTTGTTCAGGTGTGATGTCTGGCACGCCCTCATAGCTACTGGCTGTGGCTCGTTGGACCCGCCCTCTGCCTCCAGCTCATTGGCTGTAGCCGTAGCGGTCCTCGCCACCCCAAAGATGAGCTTTCTGTGGTGCCTCTTCGCCTGTCGCTGGTTGCCGGGCGTGGCGATGGGTCTGGCTACTGTGCCCGTCTTCAGCATCTCGGGGCCCCAATAGCAGCTGTTACTTCAAACCCGGCTGCGCCCTCTTTTGTGTAGTGCTACAGTGACAGGTGGCCGCGCCTTGCGTGTCGCATTACATCTTGTACCAAGACTGGATTCCTAGCCGTCATAAGCGTTGCTAGGGCGGAATATGTAGCTCGGCTCTATAGCAACCATCCCAGTGGACGTCTTCTGCTAGTATAATTTTCTTTTTTACTATTGGAGCAAAGCTGACACTTCAATGGTGGTGTAACAAAGCTGTGCGTATATTTAAAGCAGACCATGTACTATACAATCTGCCTTAACAGTCCATGTAAACCCAAAAACGTTACAGTTCTTCATTGTGGTGGCTGCATTAGGTTTTGTTAGGATTTTTTTTTTTTTAGCTGGAGATCTGGCCAGTAACACTCTTAGGCCCCATTTACACTGAGCATAAATCCAGGTGATATCGTGCATATTTGCTGTGCGATATCGCTCTCCAATGCAAGTCAATGGAGCTGTCTCTTGTGCAGGACCCTTTTTTTGGAGCGGATGTTGTGTGATTGTACTCAGCCCAATGCAAACATTTGTGCTATAGTGTGGTAAAACGCTCAATATCGCACAAAATGACAACCGTGCGACAAATGTGTGATTTGCAATCCGCTCAGTGTAAATGGGGCCCTAGGGTGGCTTCTCTCTATGGAGAAGCAACAAAGCCACACTTGGGTAGCGGCATTGTCAGTCTATGGGGAGGGCAGTGTTGGATAAACTGGTACATTTTGATGCATCTGAGTAACAAATGTGAATCTGAACCCCAGCTAGAATGTTTTATGCAGTTAAAGCAAAATTTTTTCCTTTTTGGAATAAAACCTTTAAATTAACAAACATTGTAAGCACACTTGTGGGTGTTTAAATGATTTCTCTACCCTCTGACACTTTTGTAAGAATTATTGCTCTTAGTGCAGATGGCAATTCCTGACCTGTAGCGCAATTGTCATTTTTGTACATGGGCGCACCTGACTTCCCATGCATGCATTTGCAGGGGATTTTATGGTGTATTTTATTTTTTTTAACCTAATTGCAATTCACATTGGGGGCTCACAATCTCCCCTTTGTGATAGCAAATTGGAGGTGGCAGGTTCTCTTTAAGGTCTCATCAGGGGTCTGAGACACTTGGGGTCTCCTTTCCACTTCAAAGGAGCTGAACAGCTTCAGCCAGGGAATGTAAACACAGCAGGCAGTGGGTGTGTGCAATAGCCAGCCTTCAATTGGCTATTGCAATTTGAAATCACCAATATATATGGCTATTGCAGCTGCCTGCTGTCAATCAGATACAAAGGACAAAGTTCTCCAGGTCCTCTGCTGATTGAAAGCAGGCAATGGGTGGGTGCAATAGCCAGACTGCTATGGGGTCATGCACAGTCTGTGCTTGGATCAGCTTGTTGTAATGGCAAAACTGTTTGAAAAAATAGAATGTAAAAGCGCCACAACTTTTAAAGTCCCACATGCAGAGATGATTGCAAAAGTACACCTGATGTGCCTACACACCAAAAAAAGTGTTTTTCTATTTTAAATGTTAGTTTCTTAAACTTTTTTTTATCTGTTTGCATTTTAACTTTTTAAAAAAATGTTTGTCTTTTGTAATTTTAGTTTAACTATTTTTACATTTTTATTTTATTTTTTTACTTTATTGCTGGGAGCAATAGCCAGCCTGCTATTGGATATTTCAAATTGCAATAGCAGTCTGGCTATTGCATCTGCCCACTGCCTGCTGTCAATCTACAAAGGAGGGGCCTGAACGAGAAAGTTCTCTATCAGGTCCTCCCATGCTGATTGACCCCAAGCAGTGGATGGATGCAATAGCCAGCCTGCTATTGCATCCTAAAATATCCAATAGCTCCCAGCCTGCAGATGTAGAGGAGGCTGGGGG